AAAAAAAAAAAAAAAAAAAAAAAAGCTCAAATAGTTTCCAATAATTGTGCCACATCGTTCAACGTTGTCATCATGCTGTGAGAGCAATGAGCTACATGACATTGCCTTAGGAAAAGCGGTTAAGACAAGCCAATTTGTACACTGCAACCCCTATTCATATGTCACTATATTGTCGGTTTCACATCTCTTTTTCTTTCATGCACATGATGTTAGGCAATTAGACACAAAAGGACTACGTTTTGTAACCGCTTCTAATTAGACTGCCATAATTGTCAACTTGGCAGCCTAAAATCAACACTGTAAATAATAAATACAATTATACAAAGTCTCTTGAATCTACTAATTGGGAAAGGTGAAATTGACACAAAGCAATAAAGCATATACCTACCCCTTGACTATCCAACCTCAAGATCTTGCAAAGTATTTATGGGTTAGTTTGAATTATAGTTTTTAATTATACTAAGCCTATGTTTGGCTGATCGAATCACTTTTTATCCACTCATTTTATGGAACTTATAAGTACTGGTACACTACGCACTTATTCAATATTCATTTCTATTGATTAATAATATAAATAGTTTATAGACGCTTCCCAATCAACTTTTAAAGAAAAAAAAAGAAGTAAAATCTTTATTAGTTGTAACGTTGTGTATAAAATAAAACTTATATACGAATACTAACAATTTTACATAAAAATTTATCTAGTTTATTCTGTTGTTCAGTCTAGCCCTTGTTTGACGCACATTCTTTCAAAACTCATTTTCAACTACACATTTTTCAATAAAATAATATTTTTCATCACATCAATAATTTTTTCTTACTTTTTAATCATATATTTTCCATCATATTACTATTTAAAACGCATTCTTTTCTCTATAATATACACCCAAATCACTAAGTGGGAAGATCACATGAGAAAGTGATGGACCATGTTTGTCCATATCTAACATAAATAATACCCGGGTTGGAGAACTTGCATTATCAAATGTAAGGCAAATCCAACAAATTTGGGCCCCACCCATAAACACTTTTAGCTTGAATCATGACTTTTAGCTACATAAAATCTGGATTCAAATGCAAGTCCCATGAATCTAATTTAACATCCTAAAAAGTTCTTGAGCCCCAAAAGTCCTCACTTAACTAAACCAAATGGTGAGTAAGTGCTCGAGTAATCAATCATAGAAAACTAAGCGCGATTCTTAATAAATTTGAAATCGACTATATATTTTCTGTACTAGTTGAAATTTGTCCTAAAGTAGAATGTGATGCAGCAAATATAAACAGTATTCAACAGAGAATTAATGGAGGAGAGAAGAGATAAGAAGAAGGTCCAGTACACCTACAACTGCAGGCTCAGGGGTTCCTTGGAGTAGCATTAAAGACTCTACTGCATTTCTTCTCCATATTTCTCACCATCCAAAAACCAATCTTGTATTACATTTTAAGCAGAAAAAATATAGTAGAAATGAGATAGATTTAAAGGCCAAAAAGTTGTGAAGATTTTCTTATGGTTCAAGAACATGGGTCATGGTTTTCAGATTCTCCACATGATTTTTGTCATCATTTTCATTCTTATATCATACCATTGCACCCACAATTTGATTGTAAAAGGCTCGTTCGCATTACCAGGAGGGTATGGAAATGAAGATCAAAAGGCCTTAATTTTGGAGAAATTTAGAGTTTTGTTGGGACTCAAGAGCTTCCACATAAATGCCTACTCACCGACACTGGCACCAGCCCCGGGACCTTCCCTGGAATTCAACATTGCGACTGATTCTCCTGCTCCTACTCCGGTGCTGCATCCGCATGGACATTCTAGACTTCCCTCGCATCACTATCATCAGCCGATGCCTTCGATACACAAGATGCAAAAGGATGATAAAGGTACTTCTACAAGAGTTTTGACAGCAGTTCTTGTTACTGTTGGAGTTACCTCTCTATTATTATGTGCCATTGGGCTCTACTGGGGCTGCCGGAATTTCGGAAGACGAAAAAAGAGATCGAAAAGGACCCTATCTGTATTCAGCACTGAGGCAGGAATCACTGGTAAAACAAAGTATACGAGTTCTCAAAGCTCTGTGAAAAAGGTAAGTTCTGATCCAGGCCCTGACCTTTTTTACCTTAATTCCTTAGAAACTGCATTAGAACCGGATAAATTTTGCTCGAAACTGAATTCGAACACTCAAAACACATACTCGAATCAAAGCACGATAAATTGTACAATGCAAGAGAGTGAAGAACCAGTTAAGGAACTTGTAACATCAGAATGTGAGAATGATAGATGTTTGGCTGTTGGAGAAATAATCTCTGCCTGTGAAATTTCTGAATATAAGTGTGAATTCGATGGCTGTAACTCTTCTTCGTGTGGTGAGAAAGTAATTCCTGAAGAAGTTCATTCAATCGACAATAAATTTATTACTGAGGAAGATAATTCCTCTGATGATGAATCTTTCCATTCTGTCTGTGATTCACATTCCTCACATGCTAGACTTTCCAATGCCTCAGCCTGTAGTCTTAGTGACAACTCAGAAATTTTCTCCCAGAATGAATCAAAGGCATCCCATTTTTGTGAAGACACTACAACAGAGAATCCAATTCAAATTTCGCATCCCAAATCAGAACCTCCCTTGTCCCCGAGCCAGTCATCGCCTCCTCCACCGCCACCCCCTCCTCCACCGGTGAAACGTATTTATCCTTATAAGTCTATCCCTTCTTTAACAAAGAGGGTACCTAACCTTTTGAGCTTATCATCATCAGAATCAAACAAAACCCCACATATTGGATTATCATTACCCCCTCCTCCACCGGTTCCTCCCATAGCTCAGACAGGAATTCCTCCACCACCAATTCCAAAAGGAAATGCCAACCCTCTTAAAATCCCACCACCTCCACCATCTCATCTCACTCAACATACGCCATTGGGCAAAGACGGAGCCCCATTGCCAAAGCTTAAACCGCTTCATTGGGACAAAGTTAGAGCTGCACCAGATTGTTCGACAGTGTGGGACAAGCTGCGAACAAGCTCATTCGAGTAAGATTTTTTATTCTCTACATTTTGAAAATGATTTTTTCCTTTGTACATCTTGTTTATGATTATGAGATTTTGCACAGGTTTGATGAGGAAATGATTGAATCACTTTTCGGTTACAACCTTCAAAATACGATGAAGAATGATGAAGTTAAAAGTAAAACCCCATCTCCAAGCAATCATGTCCTGGAGCCTAAGAGACTACAAAATATAACTATACTTTCGAAAGCCTTGAATGTTTCCACAGAACAAGTATGTTCAGCACTACTTCAAGGTAAGTAACTTCAAGTCTTAAAATAGTTACACAAAAAGTTAATCCCATTAACTAAAACACATTTTCAATCATTGTCTGACAATCAAATGATAGAGCTATGTAATAAGAACTAAGAGACTTTGATTATAATTTTTACAACTTTTTCCAAACAGGGGATGGATTGTCATTGCAAGATTTAGAGGCACTATCAAAGATGGTGCCTACTGTTGAAGAGGAGGCTAAGCTTGCAAACTACAAAGGAGACATTACTGAATTGGGATCAGCAGAGAAGTTAGTCAAAGCCATGCTTAAGGTGCGGTTCGCTTTTTTAAGAATTGACGCGATGCTGTACCGAGAAACTTTTGAAGACGAGGTTCTCCATCTCAGAAAATCCTTCTCAATGCTTGAGGTAAACAGTTCGATCAAACAATTTTCCACAATCAAAAAGTATAATCTTCTTAGAATTACCATGTCTGATATTTTATTAGGAGGCTTGCAAGGAGCTCAGATCAAGTCGACTCTTCCTAAAACTACTCGAGGCAGTGCTTAAAACAGGAAACAGGATGAATATTGGAACAATACGAGGAGGAGCGACAGCTTTCAAGCTTGACGCTCTCCTTAAGCTTGCTGATGTGAAGGGAACGGATGGAAAAACAACACTTCTTCATTTCGTCGTCCAAGAAATTATCCGATCAGAAGGATTACGAGTATCAGAGAGCATCATGGGCAAGATCAACCAAAGGAGCAAGACCTCAAAAATTGAAGATAAGGAAGAAAGTTACGGGAGAATGGGTTTAGATCTTGTATCTGGCTTAAGTACTGAACTCTACAATGTTAAGAAGATGGCTACAATAGACTTGGATGTTCTTGCAAGTTCCGTGTCGAATTTATCTGATGGAATGTGTAAACTGCAACATCTAGTACACAAGATCCTCGAAATGGAGGGTGAAAATGGGAACTTTGTGAACTCAATGAGATCATTCCTTAAATATGCTGAAATGAAGTTAAACGAATTGCAAGAAGATGAGAATGGAGTCCTACTACACGTACGACAAATGACCGAATATTTTCATGGAGATGTGAGCAAAGATGAATCGAATCCACTTCGAATTTTTGTAATTGTAAGAGATTTTTTGAACATGTTAGATAATGTGTGTAAAGAGCTTAAAAACTCGAAACCAACGTCTAGTCCTAATCCTCTTGCCCCATTCCGATAGGTTAGATGGCTTTGTTTGTCTATAGTTTCTCGACTCTCACAGTACTTAGTTGAAATTTGTGTAACATCTTCCAAATTGTAATGAAATTTCATTTCTGAATGTCAATATGATTATGTTTTGCAGACATCTCATTTTAACATTGGATCTTTTTCTTGATTACTTCTCCTACATGACACACTTCTTTCTCCCACTTCATTAACAAAAACCACTAGTTCTAAGTCCTAGGTATATTGATGGGCATCTTGAACAAGAAGCACAATAGAGTGTCGAATTTATGTGGGATCGGCACTTCAAATCACATTCCACGCGACTATTAAAACCACAGTTATGATTTTTTTTTTTTGTAATTAAAACTTACTAGAAGTGGAAATTATTATTTTTTCACTCAACTATATGAATCCCTTCCTTTTCTTGGAAAACCTATATTGAAATCATTCTTATGTAATAATTTGAGATATTGTTCTAGAAATTGTTTGTGATTGCTACATAAGTGATCCGATTGTGGTATTCCGAGGGTGATTGTTCAAAGAGATTACATCAGTTTATGACTTTCAATTTCACTTCAGGACATCATGTTGTCATTGAGTCTCGATTGATAAGTTTTCTTTTCTACGTTTTATTGTTCTGCAATAATTCCTTCAACTAATTACTCTCCTGCGTCTAAGACGATGATAAAATAAGTTCAAATTTGAGTCGTGAGTTTACATGGACTTTAGTCATCGGCCCCATAAATAGTAATTTGATCATATCACAGTCGTGTGTGTGACCAACAATATGCACGTGGACCAGAAAGAATTATATAAACCTATTGTGTTGTATTTTGATACAATGACCTGTCTTTACACTCTGGATGTTTTCTGCTGTATATCCTTGCATTTGTCCTAGTGTCGCGGCAATGCTCCAGTCAGTGGGCACACAAATCTTATTATTGGATCCGAGTTTACATTTTCTATCAAAGGATTGAGTTGTTGGGTGACTCGGGTCGAGAAGAATGTCATTTTTGAAACTCTGCCTCAAGCTGGAGGAGGCATTGGTGGGGGTTAGAAATGCCATGAATGATGCTTTGGACTTCGGAGTTTTCTGTTGGTCTCAGAAAGTTGCAAATGGAAGTCATGGATCTGATGAAGTGCATAAGGAGTTAGAATTTATGATTAAGTGGGATCGCAAGGCAAAATAATGATTTCATGATAACTTTGGATTTGTCCGTTTTTGGCGAATTAATAGTCTAATTTGAGTGGAAACAGGCCAAGGATCACAACTCATNCATAAGGAGTTAGAATTTATGATGAAGTGGGACCGTAAGGCAAAATAATGATTTCATGATAACTTCGGGTTTGTTCGTTTTGGCGAATTGATAGTCTAATTTGATTGGAAACGGGTCAAGGATCACAACTCATCGCCTTCGTCCATGACGTATATCGGATTTCGGGCAGATTCCGTCATTTCGGCTCTCGATTAAGCGTTTTTGTCGTTTATGATAATTTTTATATTGGTAATATCTCATTCAATAAAATTCGGATTTGGATTCCGTTTGTTGGAGGACGATCCTCAATATTAAGAGTTTCCATTTAAGTCAAAATCTCAAATTTTTCCATTTATGGAAAAATATATTTTTTTTTATTTTCATTATTTATTTTCCGAATTCTGCTAAGGTTTTACTATTTAAAGCATTGTGAGCCATTTGAAGTGGATTATTGAATTGAATAAGAATTTTCGTGAGTTTTATCTCATCTTTGTGAGGATGTTCATCTTTTCTATACTCTTCCGCTAGGTCAGTTGGTATTAGAGCCGAAGTCGTTCCTTTATCATGCCTCCATGAGACGTCCAAAAGCTCATGAAGTCCAAGTAGAAGAGGTACATAGACGTGATGAAATTACACAGCTGCGTCAACAAGTGGAGTTGCTGACACAGCAATTTGCTGCACTCATGCCGCAACATCATGCGCCGGTGGCCCCGCCGGTTGAGGATTCTGATGATGAGAAT